CCTGTCTGCATGTTTAACAATGCAGTGACGGGCAGCGCAGTTAGGGCTGCTGAAAGAGAATGATTTTGCTCAGGCAGTTGATTCACATTAATATCAATTAACGTGCTGTGCAAGTACCTCTCTGGTTTCTAGGACAGCCCTCACAATATTGGGGTTATTCTTTTAGGGGAAGGAAGATCAAGTGTGATAAGGTATATTTTAGTTAAGATGGTTGCATTACCTGGCTAGTTTTCTCCCCAGTGGAGAAGGAAAATATAAAAAGTACTTATAAACCTCACTGGTAATTGTAAACAACAACAACAACAACAAAAAAAAAAACAAAAAAAAAACATGGCCTTTATTGAGAACTAGGCATTTTGGAGTGAGATTGACTGAGTTTGACTGCAGAAGCTGTCCCTCTTCTAGGTTCAGTCCCCAAATCACCCAAAACCAGGCTTTTGGTGTGTGGATACAAGAGTAGTGAGTGACTGTGCGACCAGCTCCCCTTTCCTGAAAGGACTCAGTTTTACCATTTGATTTTACCATCGGTGGGGATGATAGAGTCTCAGAGGTTACAAGGATAAGATCGAAAGTTAGATGCTCATTTAACAACTTCAAACATGTATTTCATACGTCTACCAAGGTCTTTTCCTCAAGTGCATTAAGCCTGAGATTTAACAAAGAAAAATGAATGATTAAAAAACACATGGTTTTAGGGTTCAATGGGTTTATCATATGATGTTTTAAAAAGTCATAATTAATGATCCAATTCTCCCTCTACCTTTCCAAAATTTTTCTAAGAATGTTTTTGTGTGAACATAATACATATTTAATGTACTTTTAAGAATCATGAACAAACAACTTGATGTGTTTTTCTATTTGTGCACTTAAGAATTTAATTATTTCATAATAATATATAATACATAATATAAATACATAATAATAGTTACATATTATGTCACCTTTATTGTTATTTTTTTTAATTCTACTTATTAGTTGGTATTTTGTTAAGATTGAGAAATACTAACCAAATTGACAGATGATAGGATTACACATTATCAACTCATGATAATAAATAGATTTTTTTTACAGGTTTTAAAGCACCTTATATTTGCATTAGGATGTGTAGTATGGGAAGAACTTTTAGAAATATGATATTCACACTGATAACCTCCTAAGCCCTGTACATAATTTATGCTGAGGAAATTTTGTTATTTCCCCTTTATGGGTGAGTTAAGAGATGAACATGAACATTGTATAATCCCTTATGCTTATAAATTTTATACAACTATACAGCAAAATGATTTTATAAATAGAATAAAAGCAAACTTAACAATCAAATAAAATTTAGACAGTTTTGTCTTCTCACTACTGCTATGTCATATGTGAAAACTCAATCCCAGCGCACAGTTTTTCTTACTTTCAAATCTAAGAATACCTTTGGGAGTGTATTTATCCTCAGCTGCAGAGTACCAAAGATAATACTTGTCATGAATAGAAGCACATCTATGTTGGCCTGCTTTTTGTTGCTGTGACAAAATGCTTGGGGAAAAAAAAAAAAACTTAGAGGAGGAAAGGTTCATTTGGCTCATGGTTTCAGAAGTTTCAGTCCATGGTCAGCTGGCTGCGTTGTTGTAGGCATGTAATGAGGCAAAAACAGCATGGCTGAAGAAAGCTGTTTACCTTGGCAGCGAGGAGCAGAGAGAGACTTTGGAGGGCATTCCAGATCCAAACCATATAATAATATAATTAATGCTACTTCTACCCTGAGTTCTCAAAGGGAAGGACTGAAAAGGAAATGAAGAGAAAAAAAAAAATCTTGATTATATAATCAAGTCAGCCTCTATGCTACCAGAGGTTGATTTGATTGATCTTGGTTGCTTTATTTACAAGTAAAAGTCACAATTAAGTAGACTTGTTCTTTTTAAAGCTTGTTTAATTATTTTTAACACATATTAAGTGTCCATGTTAATGGGTAAAGTGTGAAATTTCCATACATACATACAGCATGCACTGATCAAATCATTCCTCCCAACCCCCTTGACCCTTCTCAAACTCTAGTGATCACTATTTTGTTTTGTCAACATTTTTTTTTTTAGCTTCCACATATAAGAGAAAAAATATGCAGTACCTGTCTTTTTGTGACTGGCTTATTTCACTTAAACATAATGTCCTTCAGTTGCATCTATTTCACTGCAAATGACAGGATTTTATTTTTTAATGGCAGAATAATACCCCACTATCTATTTAAAAAAATTTTTTTTGGTAATTGTAGATGGACACAATGCCTTTATTTTATTTATTTTTATGTGGTGCTAAAGATTGAACCCAGTGCCGCACACATGCTAGGCAAGTGCTCTGCCACTGAGCTACAGCTACAGCCCCCACTATCTGTATATACCACATTTAAAAATAATCCATTAATCTGTTGGGGGCACCTAGGTCAACTCCATATCTTTGCTGTTGTCAAATAATGCAACCATAAACATTAGCATGTAGTCATCTCTTTGATATGCTCATTTCATTTCCTCTGGATCTATATTCAGAAGTGGTATTACTGGATCATATGGTAGTTCCATTTATTTTTTGAGAAATCTCCATATTTTTCTCTAGTGTGGCTGTACTAATTTATAGTCCTACCAAGAGTGTTTTACACTTTGTTTTTCTCCAATTTTTGTCAACATATATTTTTTTTGTTTCATTTATGATAGAATAAGCTTGTTTTTGCTTTTAAAAAAAATCAGATTTATGTAACTATATAGATTATATTTAGTTTTCTTATAACTATTGTAATTGATTAATTAATTAAATGCACTCATTTCCTTTCATATCTGTATCCTACACCATCCTGCCTACTATATAGGTAACAACCATAAAGCATTTAACTACTGCATATTTTAACTCAATCAATTATGGAGATATATGTTATAGTTTACATTAGCTTACATTAAGCATTCTTTTTGGCACTCATTGGTGTCTACATCCAGTGAATTCAAAGTGAACCGTGATATTTCATGTGATATTCCCTATCATATACCCACTACATTCTTCTTGCCCACATTTCTGTAGCTGTACAATATATTTTCCTAAATTCCTTCCATGCAAAGTTGCAATGAACGTTCTCATAACGACCCTTATAGATTTGAATTATAATTTCTCTGGACATATGTTTGGGCCTGGAATTGGTGTAGGAAAGGGTGTATGCACATATAAGTTTTACTAATTACAAACAAAAAAAGTCTCTCAATAAAATCTCTAAAATAGAGGTGTCTGTTCTACAGAATCACCAGTAGCCTGAGGATTTCTATGTACACACTCCTGTCAAAATGCAGTGCTAACAAGTTCTAAAATTTTTTCTAGTGTAAGAATAAAATATTAATTAATTGACACTTTAAAGTTAATTTTTATGTTTACATATAGTATATCCTTAACTTTTGGGGCTTTCCTCTTTTATAACTTGCTTGTATGTACTTTTTTTTCTTAGTGTACTATAAGATTTCCTTGTATGATATGGAATATTAATTCTGTGTTAGATTTAGACTTTACAAATACTATCAACCATTGTGTCCTTTGTTTAATTTTATTTGTTCATGTTTTTCTTCTAAAAGAAATGTTTAATTTCATGTCATTGAGCTAACCAGTTCTTGTCTTTCTCTCTTTCTCTCTCTCTTTTTTTTCCATTTGTCTTTACCTCATACATTGTTGGTCCAGGGTTAATTTCTTCTTTTTTTTTTCCAGACTTAGAAAAGACAATGGTGACTATCTAGATTCTCAATATTGTGGTAATCCCAAAATGTCAGAATTGGACTCACAGTATAGCCATCTGCTCATAGCCACTGCACATAATCTAGTTCACCAAGAATGGCTTTCAGCAGAATGCTTGATTTGATTGTCCTCCTTTATAATATCTCTGTATCATTGGCATTTTTTTTCTTAAAGTAGTTTTGTGTTAGTGGTCTTCTTAAGACAACTAAATCAATCTAGTGTGTATACATAGTCAAAATACAAGACTTTTCTTACATGCAGAAGTAGAATGCTTATAGACTCATTCCTTTCAAAATATATGAGCCTAAATATGTATAATACACACATGTATAGAGAGATAGACACATGCAATACTTTCATATTATAGTACAAACTTGAGTTTAGGCTTATATTAGTTACTGTATTATACATTCCTTTTGATAATATGTAGAATATATACCTTTCTATTACTATTTAAACTTTTCATCTCTTATTTTCCCTTGATGATATCATTTTCAAACTTAAGTTTTGAAGTATCTTTACTTTGGATGTCAATATTTAACAGTGTTAAAAAGTTGCTTTAATTGTATCATTTAAATTTTTATTTTACTTTCAATATTTCAAAAATGAACTAAATATTATGGATTTGCTAGATTATTTCTCTTATATGAGTTAAATCTTCATAATCATTTTCATTTAGTACTTATTCCTTTAAGATAAGCCTCTTAAACCATCATTGACAGAAGATTCAATATGTTCAACTCTAAGTGACCAACTTCCTTTGTGGTATTCAGCTTTTTCAGAATTCTCACATGTTGGAGAACTGTAGAAACAGCAAGGATTATTTTTACTGAAGAGTTCAGTACTTGCTTTAAGAAACCTCTATGGGGATTTGATGCTATGTACTTTGTTTTAATGTTTAACATTAAAGCAAGGTGGTTGAAGAGATAGCTGTTTCAGACCTTCCCTAAGATGACAAATTGCTAGCAAGCGTGGATCCCATTTGAATTGATGTTGTAAAAAAAGAAAATATTTCACACAGCTTTACTGTATTTTGGAATGCTTTAATTTCCTGAATAACATTGTTATTGTTAGTGGAGACTTTTCTTCAAGGATAATCACCTACTTCTCTGCAATGAACATTATCCTATAGATATTGTATACCGTTTTTATTGGCTTAAAAGTTTTCATTTCAAAAATGTAATGCCATTTATAGCATATCATTCCTAACTTCAAGGTCTGTTTGATCTTTTTAATCATGGAATTGATTTTCAAAGCAATACAGGTTAAACAAGCTGGCGATGACTTTGTTGAATCATCTATTCTTGACGCGGTACAGAGGGTTGACAGTGCAATTAACTCCACACGAAGACATTTGTTTTCACAGTAAGAATTAATATTATTTTGATTGCAAAAATTGTTTTCATTTCTGTTCTACCCGGTTTTTATAGTTTCCGTATATTATAACAGGTAGGATGTGTAAGATTGCCAGAATGCTTTTAGTTCTTGTGTATGTGCCACCCTCTGTTCTAGCCATCAATTTTTGATTCAGACTCCAAGAGAAGGAAATTTTTCCAATGGAGTAAAAATGGCATTAATTTATGCCACAGATCCATTCTAACAGTCTGACAAAAGATGTCAAGACAAAAAAATCTGGTATGTCTGCATTCACTAGATAATACCAGACCACTGCTCCTATGGCCTGTGGATTGATAGTGATTTTCAAGATGAACACACTCAGTCAGATGCTGGTACCCCACAGGTAAAAACTTGGTTAAGAAAATTGGCATTTTGCTTCATTTTAATTGAACTGGAAAGAGTTTAGATTTCTGAAACTTTTCAATCCCATAAATTACTTTGTGTTAGCAACACTGAAATATGGTTAATACATTAACATTTTTTAAGAAAAAAACATGAGTATTGTTTTCATAATCATAGTATACATACAGTATTTTTAGTTGTTGATCAAAAAGGGACAGTTTAAAATCCCTTAATCAGGTACCACTCAAACTCCTTGCATATCCACAAACAATATGGCTTATGGTCACAGACTCCTGTTTGAAAGCCATCCTGCCCATTTATATTTCTATTATCATTCCTCATCTGTTACTTTGTGTCTGGGTAATCTTGGGCAAGTGACCTGACATCTTTGTATCTCACGTTTTTTGCCTGTAAAATTGTGAAGTCAATAGGATCTGCTGTAGGAGTGTGCTTGCTTGTGTGCTTCAGTAGGAGTACTGAAAAAATACAGATAAAATGCTTCAACATTACCTGGTACACACAGAGTGCTTAATTAAAGTGAGTTATTAGTATCGTTACTATTATTCTATGATCTCAAGTTGTTATGATTCAAGACAGCAGAGGATGAGATGTGCCTTGGTTGACCAAATCTCTAAAACAGTTTGCTTTGTAATCTTAGGGAAACTTTAATTGCACTTTTAATTTATTTCATTTCTTCAAATGTGCATAAACCACTATTGTATGCTGGTCAGCAGGCTTGATACTTGGGATACAAAGATGAATAGGGCATTGTGTGGGTGAGCTTTCTGTCATTATGAGAGAATACCGAAATAAAAGGAGAAAAGGTTTATTTTGGCTTATGGTTTCATTCCATGGTTGCTTGACCCTGTCATTTTAGGCCTGTGGAAAAGCTGAGTATCACTGGTGGGTGCACATAGTAAAGAAAATCTGCTTACCTCATGATGGCTGGGAAATGGAAGAGAAAGAGGAAAGGGTCCCAGTACACCCTTCAAGGTCATACCTCAATGACCTAACTTCCTCCCATTAGGCACCACTTCCTAAAATGTCTACCACTTCCCAGTAGTGTCATTAGGTGGGGATCAAGCCTTCAACACGTGAGGGTTTCAGCGACATTTAAGATCAGAATCATAACAGGCACCATTTCATCCCTAACCCAGTTCTTTCTTTAGTAGGGAAGACAACATGTCAGCAATTTAAGTACATCTTGCTGAGTACATAACAAATATCTGAAGGGATACAGAAGTAATAGAGAAGATGGAGTGATAGCTTGTCAGAGCCATTAGGGAGACTGTACCAATAGAGTGATGCCTGAGAAGGATTCTAAAGGCAAGGGGGAACTTTCAGACAGTTACATTTGGGGAAGGAGAAGACAGCAATTACCAAGATCCAAAAACTGAGAACGTGGTTCACTGTTTCAAAAGGTTTATTGAGTACCCTGGAACTCACACATGGACTTCTTACGTTTATTACTACCACCACAGATGTTGCTTTTTATCAAGAGATATTGTTTAAATCATTAATTTATTTAAAATATAGTTATTGAGCTCAGCACTGTAACCAGCACTTAGGATTCAGTGGTTAAAAAAGAAAAATAACCTACAGCTAGCGTGCAAAGTTCATATTCTAGTGGTGGATATTTTATTCTTCTTTAACTTTTGGCAAAAATCTTCTTAAGTGCCCAGCCTATGGGAGCATCACAAAGTCTACAGTTTTGCCTTCCAAAGAGACATGTGTTTTGTCATTTGCAGAAAACCTCACACTCCCAGTGATCTGCTGGCTCAATTTCGTTACCCAAGTGACCCATTTACTGTGGAGACAGCAAGAGCAGGGGAAATTTTTGAGCACACACTGCAGCTGATCCGGGACCGTGTGAAGCAGGGGCTGACTGTTGATCTGGAAGGCAGAGGTCAGTGTGGAACCCGTCTGTTCTAAGCATGCTCTCCACAGCACAGCACAACTGGACATCACTTTGGCAATGAATGGAACTTTCCTCTCCAGAACATCGTATGACTTCAAAATTAATTTACTTACCACTTTAAGTAAATGCAGATGTTCCTCATGAGAACTATAATTCAAAAGTAAGGATGATAAATACATATGCAAACTTGTCTCGACGTTTGCCAATTATTTATATTGGACAAATATAGGGGAACCATTTGGTGTGAACTTTTCAAATCCAAATGATATTACATTTTATTTAGAGAAATATTTTAGTTCCTTTCACTTATCATGGTTGATTACCTAAATCATTCCATAAATTTATCTGAAATTGCTTCCATCATTTGTAACTTTGATATCACACCCCCCCCTTTTTTTCTATTTTAAAGTTCTCTTGTATTTTTTTTACAAAACAGACACCTACTTTGTAAATGTCAAATAAGGTAGTATAAAATGCTTTCAGATTTTCCAAGTGTTTCTCTTTAAAATGAAACAAATGAACATGATACTTGGCTGTACACTATTTGCATTGAGTGTAGCAGCAACTCATATAGGACTATCCGTTCTCTACTTTCTTCAGAAAATAAATGGGACACAAGGCAAAAGGTCCATTTGTGTTCATGCCTCAACCCCTGGGTCTTCTGAGCAATCACTGCAAAGTACAATTGCTTGTGCTTAGTCTTCCATGTTTGTCTTGGGTTTTCAAAACTTCCCTAACCAACATGTCCAGTGAAATCTTCATATCAGGGCTTTAGTTAAATATATGATTACCTGAGTTTGAATCACACCAGGTATCAGTTAGCTCTGTCCCTGTCTTCAAAAAAGCCAATTCTGTTTCCGCAGCCACAAATAAAGGTGAGGCCCACAGTTATTTAGCCATCTTAGAGTTTGTGTATTCAATTATCTCTAGTAGAAGAATAAATAACATTAGGAATAATATACTCTAAATTTGTAGCTAGAAGATTAGAAACAATAAAATAATTTTTTTTTTTGTTTTGTTTTGTTTTGTGTGTGTGTGTGTGGTGCTGGGGATTGAGCCCAGGACCTTGTGCATGGGAGACACACACTGCCAACTGAGCAGGATCGCCAGCTCCAAGATTTATTTGGTTGATTCTAATAGTCAGCCATTGTTCATAAGATAGACATTATTATTATTCTAATTTTTGGAATTATCTTTGTTGTGTATCTATTTCCAAATCCTTTGTCCTATAGTGTTTAGTTGTGACCTGACTCTTGTTACAAGTAGGAAAGACTTCTACACACCCCGGGGTGGGGGGGTTCCAACTGCACTTAGTTCCAAGTTCTCTGTTCCCTTTTCCTGCGCTACTCTCATTGAGGTCACTGCTTGGGTTTCAGAATTCCGCTACAATGATTTGGTTTCCCCGCGCTACCTTGGCCTCATCGCCAATCTGTCCGGTTGCACAGCCCACAGACGTCTGCCTAACTGCTCTGACCTGTGCTTTCATCAGAAGTACCGGACCCACGACGGAACGTGCAACAACCTGCAGCACCCGACGTGGGGCGCGTCCCTGACAGCCTTGGTGCGCGTCCTGCAGCCTGCCTATGAGAATGGCTTCAATTCGCCCCGTGGGGCTGGCCGCCACAATGGGGACGGCCGCTCTCCGCTCCCGCTGCCAAGGCTGGTTTCCACCGTGTTGGCTGGCACAGCGGCGGTCACTCCAGACCACAGGTACACACACATGCTTATGCAGTGGGGACAGTTTTTGGACCACGACTTGGATCATACAGTGCCTGCACTGAGCACCGCCCGCTTTTCGGATGGGCAGCCTTGCAGCTCCGCCTGCACGAATGACCCTCCTTGCTTCCCTATTGCCATTCCGCCAGAGGATCCCAGGGGCGCCCAAGCACCCTGCATGTTCTTTACACGCTCCAGCCCCGTGTGTGGCAGCGGCACAACCTCTTTGATGATGAATTCAGTCTATGCACGAGAGCAGATCAACCAGCTCACAGCCTACATTGATGCTTCCAATGTTTACGGGAGCTCAGAGCGGGAATCCCAGGTTCTCAGAGACCTTTCTGCACCCAAGGGACTGCTGAGGACGGGCTTACCTTGGTCCTCTTCTGGGAAGCACTTATTGCCCTTTTCTTCAGGCCCACCCACCGAATGCACTAGAGGTGAACGAGACAGCCACAGTAGCCCCTGTTTCCTGGCGGGGGACCACAGGGCTAATGAGCAGCTGGCTCTGACGGCTATGCACACCTTGTGGTTCCGGGAACACAACAGGGTGGCCACAGAACTATCAGCCCTAAACCCCCACTGGGATGGAGACACCCTTTATCAGGAAGCCAGGAAGATTGTGGGTGCGGAACTTCAGCACATCACCTACAGCCACTGGCTGCCCAAGATTCTTGGGGACCCTGGCATGAAGATGCTGAGGGAGTACCAGGGGTATGATCCCAACGTGAATGCTGGGATCATTAACTCTTTTGCCACTGCAGCCTTTAGATTTGGCCACACATTAATCAATCCTATTCTTTACCGATTGAATGATACCTTCGGTGAAATTCCCGAAGGCCACCTTCCACTCCACAAAGCTTTCTTTTCGCCATCCAGAATACTCGAGGAAGGTGGGATAGATCCACTCCTTCGGGGGCTATTTGGAGTAGCCACTAAATTGCGGGTGCCCTCGCAACTTCTCAACCTTGAATTGACAGAGAAGTTGTTCTCCACGGCCCATTCTGTGGCTCTGGATTTGGCTGCCACCAACATTCAAAGGGGCCGGGATCATGGTATCCCTCCATATGTTGACTACAGAGTTTTCTGTAATTTGACTTCTGTTGAGAACTTTGAGGATCTTCAGAATGAAATTAAAGATTTGGAGATAATACAAAAATTGAAAAAGTAAGTACACAAATGTTGCCTGGATTTTAAAAGTTTTGGGAGAGGTAGAAGAGTTGAAGGGCATTTTGTGCAGGTGGAATTGGGTTTCCCGGGGATGTCATTGCCAAACCATTAATTAATTGTGGAAAAAATGTAATATTAAAGATAGGATTCTCCAGAGACTGAATTACTCTTTTTTGTTTCTTCATGTATCCACTGCCTTTGTAAATGCAAATATTGCTGCCTGTCATTAATTAGAGAGTACATCTTAATTATGAGAGGGGAGGAGGGCAAGTCTACAGTTCATTCATGTTCTGTAGTAATCCAAGCAAGACAATTTGGTTGATAAAAGGCCATAGAATTTGATGTAAATTGGCCCATTACATAGACCTTCATAGCAAAGTAGAAAAAAAAATGAAAGCAAATTATTATTATTTTTTGTCAAAATCAAATCATTCTAAGTTTATTGTTACAATATAAGTTGGGTCTTTTTTTTACTGTATCCTTTGTGTCTTTCAGAAAAGTAAATTTTTTTTGTACATGATTCAAATTTTCTTTGAAGTTCCAAGTTTTAAATATTCCAGAAAATAGCTTCAGCTGTTCCTCAAACACCCCATCTTTTTGTCCCTTAAAATACGGTAAATAAATAAATGTTTCATCAAGAATCTTTGTTGATAGGCTAAATAGAGACTAATATTTACTAGTAGGTTAGGATATATTAATGTGAAATCTTTCAGATATTTTGAAAATTGTGTTATGTACCCAATTATCAATTTTAGGACCTTTTTGCATGATTAGGGATTTAGATACGTTAATGTCACTAGAGCTTGTACATATGTGGAATCTCAAACTGAAAATGTGTCACATATTTAAAGCACATCCAAGTATCATTCAGGTTGAATTTGCAAGTTTCTAATTAGAAAGGACATTGATTTTGGATTCACAGAGAACTGGTTTAAATCTCTGTACTCGTTAGTATCGAGGGCTTGTGGAAAGCATTTAAACAGTTTTTGAATCTCAGGATAAAATGAGAAAACAGTGGCTCCTTCTTATATTTGTTTAAGTATTAAATTATATAAAATACTGCAGATACCTAGTCCAGTTTCATCAAAGGCAATCAGTAAATGATATCGGTAGACATTTTATTCTAACGGTATCATGTCAGCTGTCAGGATCATTATTGCAGTGCACATGAGCTGAGATCCAGGCCTGTACTTGGTGCTGGCAAGAGATGAAGGTACCAGCATCCTTGCAGGGGAGAGCCTGACAGCATGCTGCAGATGCCGCCTGTTGTGATCAGCGGGCAAGGGCTTGATAGGGGTGGGAAATAAATGCTACGAGAACATAAAGCTGAGAAATGGAAGGTATGGGGAAGGTTCACAGCAAGCTACTCATAAAAGATGCCATTTGATCTGGTCTTGGAATTTTCTGAGCCTCAGATGGTAGATGAAGTGGGAAGAGTGGGCAATCTCTGGAAGGGGAGCTCAGAACTGGAAAGTGTAGTGTTGAGTAGCAGGAAAAGAGAATGGGAAGGAACAGGGGATTGGTTTTGCTGATTCTGGTACTGGGGTTGGAAACTGGAGCCTCACACATGGTAGACATGCCCCCGGCCACTGAGTTGCATCCCTAACCCATAGAAGAAATGTTGTTTTTCTTTTTTTTTTTTTGTACTGGGGATTAAGCCCAGGGCCTCATCCCATTGGGGATACTTTGTTTTTTCTCAGGACTGTAGATTAAATTCGTCGGTGCTCTACCACTGACCTACATCCCCAGCCTCCTCCCCAGCCCACCCCACCTTCTTTTTTTGAGACAGGGTCTTGCCAAATTGCCGAGGTTGACCTCCAATTTGCGATCTCCTGCCTCAACCTTGGAGTAGCTGGGATAAAAGGCTGTGCCACTGCAACTAGCACAGCTCCTTTCTGCAACCCATTTGAACCTAAGCAGCCAGACATTATCCTTGCCTTGAGGAATGTATGAGACAGGTGAACTCTGTACCAGCTGAAGCAGAGCACCACTTATCAGCGTGAATGGGTTTCTCCAGTTCAGGAGGGGTAGCCATTTTGCCTTCCCATAGGCTGCCTGTGGCCCCTGTCTTTCCCCTTTATTTTAGTCAGCCTTTTCACCCCTGTGACCAAAAAGACCTGATGATAACAATTAGAGGAGGAAAAGTTTATTTGGGGGTTCATGATTTCAGAGATGTTAGTCTGTAGATGGCAGACTCTGTTGCTCTGGGCCCAAGGTGAGACAGGACATCATGGCAGAAGGGTGTAGTGGTTACCAAGGCCAAAGTATAAACCCAAAGCACATGCCCATTGACACTACCCTCAACCCTGTTTACCTATACCCAACCTGCCTACAGTTAACACCCAGTTAATCCCTATCAGAGGATTAATGCACTGATTAGGTTAAAACTCTCATAATGTACTCGTTTCACCACTAAATTTTCTTACATTGTCTCACACATGAGCTTTTGGGGGGACATCTAGTATCTAAACCATAAAACCCTTTGATTCATAGCATGTTTGTAAAATGCCCATTTTAGACTCGTTTTACTGTGAGCACAAAATAATTACATTGGAATTGTTTTTAATAGCCTGATCTTCCAGCTCTGGGATTGTAACTTCTCAGGAGATGACTGTGCTGGTGAAGAGGGTCTGGCTTTCAATATCCTAATTTACATAGTTATTTCTTTATTCTCTCCTGTTACTTTTTTTTCCTTTTGTATTAATTGACAAATGTACTTTTAGGAGTTTGTTTTGAAATGACTTTGGTCAGTTTGGGAAGTAGGTAGACCATTTGTGAATTGGCAAAATAAATACTGACATGTGGCATTAAAAGCTTTGTATTCTGTAGGAGTGATTTTAATTGCACATATCTGCAAGCACATGTTGCTTGTGTATGCAAGACAAAAAAGTGTTTTGTTTTGTTTTTTTAATTGTTGATACTTTGCACATGGATTTGCTGCCAAGAGTTCTAACCTGTTTTGGCATAACTATGCCCACACTGAATCTTTCAGGATTACAAGGTTGTTCTAATAGGTGAAAAAGAATTTCCCATGTAGGCAATGGTGTGAAGATAGATTCCTTTTATATGCTTATTTAATTAACCAGCACATGTCAGTTGTACAATGGGCAATTTATTTGCAGCAAGTTTTTACTTTATTTCTTCTAAAACATTGAATGTAGTTTTCACAGAATTTAAGTTATTTACTTTTTTAACAAATACTTCACTACTTTACATATTATTTAATTAAATGACATAATTGAAGTTCCAGATATAGTTGTGATGAGCAAGTTTGTAAACTCTATGGAGTATGAACTGACAGTTCAAGAGGAGGAGACTGGTGCTTTGGGAGGTGTCAGTCCTTAGTAATCAGGAGGGGACTGCACTGGTCAAGGAGAATTTTCATGAAAGGTGTTGTTTAAAATAGCTAGACACAGGTGGTTTACTGTAGAATTCTGTAATAATTAAAAATTATTAAGATAAGGAGCTGGGGTTGTGGCTCAGTGATAGAGCGCTTGCCTCGCATGTGTGAGGCACCGGGTTCAATTTTCAGCACCACATATAAATAAATGAATAAAATAAAGGTCCATCAACATCTAAAAAATATATTTAAAAAAATTATTAGGATAAGCTGAAGGGTAATAGATGATACTATAAATTTCAGAGAAATCTGACAGAGTAATCAGTGGTAATAGCAAGATTTCTCAATGTGTCCAATGACCTGGGCTCTTTCTGTTCAAATTAATTTGCATGATATTAGATGAATTAAATGGATTTTCTTGTTTCTTCCTTCCTAAACTGAGGGTGTTTCACTAAAAAATCCCTAAGGTCCTTATAAATCTAAGCATTCTAAGGTAATTATGTAATTATTTAGGTAATTATGTAACAGTGGTCCACTTTATGCTTTGAATATAACCCTTGCTGCTCTGCCACTGCAACTTATTTTTAAAATAGACATGTTTCTTAATCTTTATCTCCTCCTACTCCTCCCTAATCTCTCCCCTTTCCTAATCTCAGGGGAAACAGGATTACCTTTCTTCCCTATCCAAGGCAGAGCTATCTGTCTTGAGTACACACCCACCACTGGAACAAAGTAATCCAGACTTTGGGGATGGTACCAGAAGATCTCAGAAATGATTATCTCCCAAATTAACAAGTGAATTACAACTCCAACAGAGAACAGGTGGAATGTAGCCTTTGAGTCACCTTCTTTAAAAACCTCCTGCTCCTGCTGATGGGCAGAATCACAGGCTTTGGGACAGGAGTCCCCTGTGTTTCTCCTTTGCTAGAAAAGTAATAAACATTCTTTTTCCCTTTCTCCAAACCGTGTCCTCATTATTGGATTGGCATTGGGGACAATGACTGAGCTTTTGGCAACAATTACTTGCAGAGTGATGGATTAAAATGATATTTAAAAAGATACTCTTTCAATAATAAATTGTAATCCACAACTAATAATATCTGAATGTTCCAGGAACATTTCCCCCGACCTTAAGGGTCTACAGAGCTAATGGTTTCCTTTTACTTCACTTAATTTTAAAGCCTTCTGTAAATTTGTCACCCAGAAGTAAAATCTATTTTTTCTTGTCACCTTCGATCAGGACCTTCACATTGGATCTCTTTGATATTTTTAAAGTCAGAGCAACACATGGAAATCTGTGCTAAATCTTTTCTCAAATGACCATCTGGGTCTGGCCAGAGCAGCGTGTCATCTGTCACCCGAATGTCACATGGGAATGGCTTTGTGATCATCCTTCAGTGAGGCTGGCCGTGTTCTGGAGGTTCACCTGAAAGAGCTCACGGCACAGGACAGGGGACTCACCGACCTCAGAAGGATTTCTTCAATAAGATGCCATGTGTCTTAGTCCATTTTGGCTGCTATAACAAAATTATATGAGACTGGGTAATTTTATAAAAAGCATGTTGCTGAAAGCTCGGTCCTTGTCCCTGATGCCAATCCCATGAGGACATAATTTTGAGAAAAAAAGAAAAGAATGTTTATTGCTTTTCTAGCAAAG